AACATAGAAGTTTTAAAGCAGTAGCTACTTGTTCTTCTTGATCTTCTTCTTCATGAGTTTGAGTAGTATTTTGTAATTAAACAGAAAAGTCTGCATTGCCGACTTTGAGTGATAACTTTTAACTTAACTTTTAACTTTTAAATTAAAAGTGAAAATAATTTAAGTATAATTTCTTAATGAAATAGTTTAGCCTTAAAAAACCTTGTAGCAAACATTGTGAACCATTTTGTGCCTCGTTTTGAAAGACTACAAAACAAACTGCTGTGAGACTGTAACACAGATAAGAAATAATAAAAATCTAAAGAATAATAATAATAACAATAACAGTAATAAAAATATTATCTGATGATAAATTATCTAATAATTAGGTAATAAATTATCTAAATAAAAAACATCTAAATAATAAACTATCCTCTCAAGGGCCTTCAATCCCAACCTCAACAGGAGTAGAAGAAATCCCCAGAAAGGTGAAGGATGTGCCGAGGGAGATGAATCAGCCCAGAGAAATCCCTCCTGCTCTGGGCTCTCCAAGTCACCTCCAGTTCCTTCAGTCTGTGCTTTTGTCCCCTGACCTGGGATTTTTTCTTGGCTGCCTTTCCTAGAGCTTGATTCTCGCAAAGCTCTTCCCTCTTCTTTCCAACGCAGTTGATGAGAGCAGGGAGTGGGGCTACATTTAATCCCACAGCCTTTCCCAGGCATTGGAAAACCACAAATCCCTGTCCCCTGAGGCAGGGTGATGCAGCAGGGGAAGGGACAGCAGCATACAAGTGACACTGCCACGCTGGTGCTGACCTGGGCTGAGGGCAGGGTGTGACCTCCTGCGTTCCTAAAACGCAGTTGAGTCCTGCTCCCCACCAAATTTTTATTCTGCACACGTAATCTGAACCCTTTCCTGAATTTCAGCCACTCAGGGTGTGACAAATCTCCTCCAAGTGCACTCGGGTCTGACTTAAAAAAAAAAATAAAGATCATCAATTTTCAGGTCTCGTTTTCCACAGTGTGGAAAAGTCTGGTGCCCTTCCCCAGGCTGCCAAGAAATGGGACACTTGATGCTGAACAGGGAGATCTCCCTCCTGTCCCAAAAGATTTGTGTCTACATTCCAGCCCAAACACCAGAAAATTCCCACTCCTCCCAGACTATCAGCACATCATGTGGAAGATTGGTTTTGACAAGTCACCAGTCTCTCCAGTTGTTTCTGCTGGAGACCATCTGGTAAAGGCAAAAACCTCTCTGTATTTTTTCCCTTTTTTTTTCTCCTCTGAAAATGAATATAAACTCTGCATGTTAGCCATTTCTAACGCAGCCTCACAGCTGAAACACCTCTCTCCTGACATTACCACTCACTCAGTCTCCACTTGTAATTTGCTAAATGTGCAGAGCATCCCCTGCCCTGCATCCCCCGACTGCCCCGATGCCTCCTTGGAAAGCCAAGTGTGAGAGGCAAAAAGCCACTCAAAAATTCACTGTGAACACTGAGAACAAAATGTTTTGTCAGCCTCAGGAGCCACCATGGCATGAAAAGCAACTCACCTGAATTTGCATTTCTATCCAGAGCAGCCCTCTAGCTCTCACACCTCTCACTGAGGGGATGGAACCAGAGGATTTTTTAAGGGTTATTAAAGCAGAGGAAGTGCATCTCCACACCCAAAATTCACAAACCAGGCAGCTTTCCCTGTCCATGGTCCCACCTGCCTCCTGCTGCTGAGTGTGGGGTAAAAATCCCTTTTTAAATATCGCTGTGGTGGACTCTGCTGTTACAATTCCTGGCTGGCTGTCCCGAGTTTCCCTGCTGGACACAAACCCCTGGGCTAGGAGGATGTGATAATGATGCTGTGAATGCCCCTGCTGTCTTGCTGGTGAGTAAAACACAGCTTGAAACAGCTTTAAGTATTTCCCTTAGCAAGTTTTCCTCCTCAAGATACTGTTCCCCCCTCACTATTTTGCAATTTCGCCTTTTTATGCCCTAAATAAGAACCCACAATATTATTCTTGCTGATTATGTGTCCTCTCTGAAAACTTTATAGAGAGGCTTTCAGAGCTACCCAGACACTGGGTTGGGCAACTGGTTCTCCTGAATGAAGTCAGTCATGCATTTCTACAAGCAAAAATGGAATAAATCATACACCCAGTGGTACACACAGGGTTTGTGGCAAGGCCTTTGTTAAACACATATTGCGATTGCTAAAGGATCTTTGTGCAGGAACTGGCCTGGAGGGTTCCAGCGAGAACCCTGTGGTTGTTTTGTTTAAAGTATATTTATGTCACTTCACAGATCCTCAGTCAATGACAGGAGGAAAGAGACACAGACGCAGCTGAAGTGGCTGTTCTGATTTCTGCGGAGCTCAGATTTCACTGATTTCCCACACTGATCACATCTCCTGATGAAAAATCAGATCTGAGTTGTTTTATTCTTTTCCATCACAAACCTACTTGAAGGCTGGAACAGAGCAAAGCTCTGAAGAAAAGCACAAATTACACCAGCTGGGCAGATTTGGCTAATTCAAGGAGCTTGGAAGTCTGAAGGCACGTGGAATCCACCAACTGCTTCAAATTATCCACATCTCATGTTCTAGACACACACTGGGAGAAGAAAAAAATGCCTAATTTGTAGCTCTTCAGGCCAAATTATCTTAATTACACCCCTAAAAGCAACACAGAAGAACCTAAAAGGGATTATTGTGCCTTTACACCACATCACCACCATTAACACTTGAATTCCAATTTTTCCAAGCTGCCCTTGGCAAGAGAGCAGGACTTTGGTGAGCATGGCCTGATGACCTCAGCAAATGAGATCTGCCCAATTCCCTCTTCTCCGCAGCGTGCAGGATGAGAGGTGAAAGTTTATAACAGCAATTAGAAACCACATGGCCGCAAGAGTTTTATGGTGCTGAACTTGTTGATCAGCCACTTGTTCAGAGGTTTTTTTTACCTCAAGGACGTACCAATAAAAATTATCACAAGAAATTAAATGAAATAAACCCAAACCAACCAAGCTCTGCTGAGCCAGGTCCCAGAGTTGGGTTATGACTGCAAAGCTACTTTTGTTTTAAAAATCAGCCCCAAAATCCCAGGTTTAAGCTGAGAAACAAGGCAGGGATTTTCTCCAGCACTGAGGCAGTTCAGTATTAGTCACCTTGCAGATCAGTGCTGATAAGGAGCATGTGAATCTTTTTAACCCACCAGCATGAACCAGATCCCAGGAACATTAACAACAACAACAGAATAATAAAAGGGTTGGAAAGGAAGCAGTGGCAGGGTTGCACTCAGTCTTGTGCTGCCCCAAAGCTTTAGGGGTTTGTGCTCATTGATGGCAGCCCAAGAGCATCACCCACAGCCTGATCCTGCCACCCTTGCAGGGTGAATTTCAGCAGCCCTGTGACCTCACCCTCTGCAGGATCTGGCCCCAGAGGAGCCCCTCATGCCAACAATCTTTAAAGAAATGGGAATTGTGCCAAGGACTTCAGTGGAAGCAAGAGCTGGAGCAGCTCCAGCAGCTGATGAGAACGCTGCCCCCTTCTCCTTTCCCCAGCTCCAGCCCTGGACACTTGGGCTATTTTGGATCTTCCCTAAAGCAAGCTCTGTAGAATCCCAGGAACTGATTGCCTGGTCCTTTTTTTTTTTTCAGTACTTTTATCGATTTTCCCAACCTGTTCATCCTCTAAGAAATTCTTTGGCAATGCAGATGGGTGAGGGGCTCATGGCCAACAGCCAAAAAAAAAATTACAATTAAATGCATTTGTTTCATTCCTTGTGGGACAAGGAGAGAAGAAAGGGGAGAAGGAAAGGGAGACAAGCGATGCAATGACACATCTGGGTTAACTTCCACTCTCTGGGGCTCAGCTTGCTTGGTCCGACTCTGCTTTAAGACCAGGCTGGAAGATGCTCTGAGCAACTGGTCTGCTGAAAGCTGTCCTGTCCACAGAGCTTTGGAATCCGATGCCATTTATTTCCAACCATCATACAATTCTGTGATGGTTCTGTGACCACAAGCAGAGCAAGCACAGGTGATTCGCAAGGGATGGTACAACCCAGCTATGGTGGGCAACCTCAGCCAGCCCTACAGGGTGCTGGGGAGGCAGGGAAAACAGCTGTGGGAGCAGGTTACCCGTGAGAGGAAAACTCAGCCACAGCCAGCACCAAATCTCCCCCCAAGCCCAGGCTGCTAAATTAAAACCAGTCTCGTTCTAAATCAAACCCTGCGAGGAAACGAGCTGTGAGAACAAAGCCAAATCATGGAACTGCAGACTCCCTGAATGGTCTGGGATGGAAAGGACCTAAAGATCCTCCGGTGCCATGGGCAGGGACACCTTCTCTGGAGCAGGGACACTTTCCCTGGATCGGGGACACTTTCCCTGGATCGGGGAGCTGAGCTGAGCATGCAGGAGCCGTGTCCTGTGCCTGCTGGCACGGAGGTTTAGCTGGGCTCGGCTCAGTTCGGCTCGGCTCGCACGTGTGACTCCGTGCGGGGCAAACACAGCTCCAGGAGGAACAAACCCGAGACATCACGGACCCGACAGCGGGGAAATCACACCCGGCAGGGACACGGAGCCCTGGAAAGCGGCTCCGAGCTTTGCCCAACTTCTGGCAGCTGCAGGGAGCGCCCATGCCGGAGCCCCTCCGGAAAGCCTCATCCCGTTATCCCCAGGTACGGGCCACTGCAAGGTCTGACCGAGCTCATCCCGTTATCCCCAGGTGTGGGGCGAGCACTGCACGACTCACCGAGATCCCGAACAGAAACCAAAGAGAACCGAAAGCCACCAATGACAGCGAAACGCGGAGCCGCTTGTGGAACAAAACGCAAAAATCCCGAAGGGAATCCCTGCAGCTCAAATGGATCCTCTCACATCCCCTCACGGGAGGGGACGCACACCTGACCCTGAAGGCGAGCCGGGCGCTCGCTATTTCCCGCATTCCCACGGCCGGGGAAAGGAGCAGATCCTCCCCAAAGTTGCCCGAAGTTTGCCCGGGGCGCTCCCCGCTCGGTCCCTCATTCACTCACCGCGGCCAGCAGGCAGCCCAGCAGCGGCACGGCCCCGCGCAGCCCCGGGCCCCGCATCCCGCCCGAGCCCCGCCGCATGCAGCGGGCACGGCAGGCAAGGCAGCGGCGGGAGGAGGAGGAGGAGGCACGGGAGGAGGAGGAGGAGAGGAGGAGGCCGCGGCTCCGAGCCCGCTCGGCCGAGCCCGCACCGCCCCCGGCACCGCCCCCGCCCGCCCCAGGTACGGCCCGGCCCGGAGCACCGGCTCCTTCCCCCTCCTTCTCCGTCCTTTCCCTTCCTTTCCCCCCCGCTTTCCTTGACTTTTATTAATTTTCCCTTTCCCCCCTTTCCCCTCTTCTTTCTCCCATTTTTCCTTCTTGCCCTTTCTCCTTTCCCATTTCGCTTCTCGTCCCCCTCTTCTCTAGTTTTCATTTTTTCCCTCTGTATTTTTCCTTTTCACCTCGCTTTCCTTGACCTTTATTAATATTCCCTTCCCCTCTTTCCCCCTGTGCTTTCTCTCATTTTTCCTTCTTGCCCTTCCTTTCTTTCTCTTCCTTTTTCCTTTCCCATTTCCCTTCTCGTCCCCTTCTTCCCTACTTTTCATTTTTTTCCCTTTATCATTTACCATTTCTTTTTATTTCCTACTTCTTCGTCTTTCCCCTCTTCTTCTTCTCTTCCGCCTTTGTCTCCTATTTCCCCCATTTCCTTTTCACTATTTCCCCCTTTCCTCTCTCTTCCTTTTACTTTGTCTCCCTTTTCATCTTTTTCTTTCCCCCCTTTCTGTCCCATTTTCTTTTTCTTTCCCATTTCCCCCTTGTTCTCTGTTTACTCCTTTCCTTTCCTTTCCTTTCCTTTCCTTTCCTTTCCTTTCCTTTCCTTTCCCTCACATTTCCACTTCTGGGAATGTGCCCCAGCACTGCTGGGAAGGGAAAGGAATGACTAATTGATGCATTTGGCCTTCTCTGAAATAATTGCTTGGTAAGAAGTGGTTAAATGGGCCAAAAATCCAAATTCAGTGATCTGTATGTATATTTTCCCCCCCAAAAAGGCAGAACAATTCCATGTTGCAGGTCACTGACATGGAATTTCTGGATTTCTCGGATTGGAGGAACAGCTCAGGACCAGGCTGACCTTCATTTTTTTAATAAAAATGTGGAAATCCTTCCCCTTTCCAGCACACTGGGCAGCATTTCATTTAATATTAAGGGCCGTGCTCCTTTCACTTCAAGACAACCCTCAGGTCTAAGCTTGCTTTAGTGTAGAAAGCCAAATAAACCCTATAAATAAAGGTAAAAATAAGAAAAATAATCCCCTCCTTACTGTTCCTTTCCCCCCAACCCCACTGGATTTTCAAGCTCCAACAGATGGACAGATTTGTTGTTTTGTAAAGCACCTGCTGAAGAAAAAAACCAAAATCCTCAAGGAAAGAAAACAAAATCCTCATATTTTGGAGGCCCTGGAGAGAGTTCTCTAATTCCAGGTTCTTCAATTTACTGACACAACCAAGAAAAATGTCATTTTTAGAGAAAAGGCTTAATGGTTAAAAATCCAAAGTTATATCCAGTCTTTATCTCTTGTTAGCAAATCACTAAACCACTCACTTTTTAAAGCCAACCTGCAAAGGGTGAGGAAAAAAAACAGTTTAGTGTTTTTCCCTTACTTTTCTGAAAAAATGTGGATTAATTTGTATTGAAAATATTTACCCCCCCCTTTTTTTTTTTGCATTTGATATGAAAAATCCCCATCGTCTCCCTTGTTTCTCATCATAGATCTGATGGTGGCTTATAATTGCCAGTGTAAAAAGAGAGACAAGATGTTAATTACCTCAATTAGTTGTACAGAGGTTTATAAAGCTATATAAAGCTCAGTTTGGATCCTAAAATAACAGGGGCAGAGCTGATTATCTGGTCACTGCATCCCCCCACTAATTACAGCCACTCTGGGGTTCATTATTTCATTTATTAATGCAGCCTGAATGCATTCAAGCAGCCTGATAAGGATAAATTTTGGGGGAAAAGAGGAGGGGATTGAGATATTGGTAGGTGCTGCTTTTTTGGGTTCTTTGCAGAGAGTAAATCTGGAGGATTTGGGATTTTACAGGAAAAGCCTGAAGCACATTTTGCCTTGTGGACTGTGCTGGAATTTTGGCAGCAAATAACCCTCTTGTGGTGCTGCTGGTCCTCAGGGATCACAAGGGCTGGGTTTAATTCTTGAATAAAACCAATCCAGCTCTCAAGTCTGGTCCTGTTCGACAAGAACTTCCACAGATTCACAAATAGTTCATTTTCAACACCATAAATCTGGTTACATTCAATGGAGGAGCAGAGACACAGCCCTGAGCAAACAGAGCTATGTTCCCCTTCCCTTTTTTTCGTTTTTCTTCATATTTAATTTTATCCAGACTCCTTCTGCACTATAATTTTTTGCCTTGCCAAATGGTTGGAAAAATCACATGTTACAGGTGTGTCTTCATTTGCATCCTTAGAGGTGCGGAATTAATATGCAAATGAGTATTAATGAGGGGTTTGGCTACTTCCAGTGAGAATTTACAATGAATACAACAGGTAAAATAAACATTTTGCTCCTCTTCCACCTTTCTGTGCCTCACTGAAACCACATCATGCTGTGGGACCTCTGCCTCCCTCCAGACATCATCACCCTGTGGTGACTCCTTGCTCTGGCCAGGTACAATATAAAAGAGGGGAAAATTCCTGTTTTTCTCATCAATTCTTCTTCAAATTCAGATAATTCTCTAAAAAAATCTGATCATTTTTTACAAGGGAACTTCAGAGCACTTGTTTGATTTGAACTCACCTCCTGCTTGTTTCATCCCATGTGTCCAGATCTTGCCCTGCCTGTATCAGTGAAATCACTGAAATTCCCTTCTCCATGTGGCTAAAGGCTCTGTCTCAGTGCAGGCTGAAAAGCCCCAAACTCTCTGGAGCCTGTACCAGGCCTTTGGCATCTTCTTTTGCCCTCTTCTTATCCCTGTGTATCCTCTTTAAAACAAAAATGGGTGTCTGAAGAATTCAAAATGTCAGGTTTATGGCATGGCCTAGTGCTGGTCGTGGTTTAAACCTGATTTTTGCATTGGGTGGGTGAGAACAGGAGAATTCCCGGCTGAATTACTCAGGTATTACCATTCCAAGATGTATTGCCACAAATTACTCAGGTATTACCATACCAAGATGTATTTCCACAAATTACTCAGGTATTACCATTCCAAGATGTATTTCCACAAATTACTCAGGTATTACCATACCAAGATGTATTCCCCCAAAGCATGGCTCTGAAGCAGCTCAGCTTCCATTTCCTCTCTGCTGGTGGGAGCTTGGTGCTCACCTCACTGGGATTCCATCCAACACCTGTATTGGTGAAATCTCATTCCCTTCTCCTCATGGCTTTGTGTCAGTGCAGACTGAGAAGCCCCAAACTCTCTGGAGCTTGTGCCATGCCTTTGGCATCTTTTTTTTTTTTTTGCCCTCTTCCTATCCCTATGTATTCTCTTTAAAACAAAAATGTGTGCCTGAAGAATTCAAAATGTCAGGTTTATGGCATGGCCTAGCACTGGTTGTAGCTTAAACCTTCATTTTTGCATTGGGTGGGTGGGAACAGGAGAATTCCCAGCTGAATCAGTCAGGTATTGCCATTCCAAGATGTATTTCCACAAATTACTCAGGTATTACCATTCCAAGATGTATTTCCACTCCAAGATGTATTTCCACAAATTACTCAGCAATTACCATACCAAGGTGTATTTCTCCCAAAGCATGTACCTGAAGCAGCTCAGCTTCCATTTCCTCTCTGCTTGGTGCTCACCTCACTGGGATTCCATCCAACACCTCCCTCCAAAATTCTTTCCTGACCTTCAGGGCTGGAAGGTGGCAGCTGCTTGGTGCTGAACAGCCTCTCAGCTAATAAGTTGATATTGCAGCCTAGAAAGTGATTTTTGTTTCCCCCTAATCTCAGCTGTGAACAATTTGAGAAAGCCTTGATCTAATTCCTCTTCCCATCAGCAGCAGCACAGTGTTCACTTCTTGGGCTGGTGCATCTTCCCTGGGTCTGCTTTTCTTCATTACCACTATTTAACTCTCTCCCTTGAAGATAATTAACATTTCTGATGTGGCATCCTTCACAAAATGGCTTATCTCTCCCAGGGCTGCTTGGGGAAATGTCATACAAATAAGAAATTTTTGGTGGATACTAATGGCAGAGGTAAATAAAAGCAACCACATTGTTTCCTGCCCGTGTTTCTTTTTTCCCTCTGTGCCTCTGGCAATCAGAAATGCAAAGACTAAAAGCAGTGGTGGCTGGAAGGACAATATTTGAGGGCTGATTCATGCAGCAGTTTGCTGCAGGCTGGATTTGCTGTTCTGTGCCCTTGTTCCCCATTTAGCTTCCTCTCCAAAGCCAACACAATGCATCTGTTCTGCTTTCCACTGGGTGACTTTATGTGAATACAGTAACAGCATCACATCCCCTAAACAAGCTGCAAAATGAATTCCTGTGCATTATTTGCATTGGGGATTAGAGGCAGGCAAACACTGGCTGTGGTGTTTTGCAAACAGCACCATTCCATCCACCTACAGGACTTCATTATTTGCAAAATGAAGCACAAACAATTGGTGCTTTTCTGTGGTTTAAAGCTCCTTATTCTGTGTGAGGTGGAAACACCAGAATGGCCCTAGGGAAAATATGAAGTGAGCAGACCACAACCCAGCAGGGCTGAAAGCTCAGACTTTCTTCTCTTTCTGTCCCCAAAAGTTTTCCCATGAAGTTCTGGAAATCTCCACCTGTTTGATGATTAAAGCTGTGAGGGCAGCAGAGGTGGATATTTCATGAAATATCTGAAGAGCAGGAGTGGGATATTTCAATTTAAAGGACCTACCTGATCCAAGCGGGCTAAAATCTTGTCCTTGATCTCTGGGGCAAGGGCAAATTATCCAGTTGCTGATGCTCACCTCACTCTGTAAGCTAAAGATAGCAATAATTACCTACCCAACTCCCAGGAGAGCTGAGGATTAATTGCTTCATAGTACTCAACATTTATTTTCACACAATCA